GCTTAAACCAATGCAAAGCATCAGAAGTAACTGCAAAGCTCTGGATACATATCTTGAGGTCTGGCAGCTTCTCATCTTGCAATCCCAAGAGTCAGCTGCAACTTGCATTGTCTAATCTTGAACGGAAGTCTAAAAAGTTCCCGAGGTGGTATCTGTGGTCACCAGCCTCCACAAAGTTCCTAACAGGGCCAGTCCCAAGTGTCCATCCTGAGATTCTAGATACTACAGGTCCTCAGTAGTTCAATATCATGCTATTATCAAATAAGGCAGAAGAGCCATCTTATTAACCCAGAACATTATAAGAACCCATAAGTCATCATATAGTGGAGATAGACTGGAATACTGTCAGGGAATTCATGATCCTGAAAAACAAACATTTCAATCAGCTTGTGGCTCTAACCATAAACATAAAGCATGTTGGGGCAGCATGGACTTATAAAAGATAAGGCTTAGATACAAGATCAAGAACTTCTAGGTTTCATTCCCAGTTCTGCCCAGTAACTATGCAACTTTAGGCATGAGACTCAACTTCTCAATGGCTCTGCCTGCTTATGTTTAAAATAAAGGTTAAAACAGAGTTTTTTTTTTCAGAATGTTCATTACCAACACATGTTAATATATGTAAAATATGCCTGTAAATATACTTTGTGTCCAAAAACTATTAAATAAACATGAGTTGTTGGTGATTTGTTGTCACTTTTAAAGGATTTTGTTAAATGCCAAGTTTTGTCTAATAACAGGGGTGGAAGTAAGAAGGTAGGCAGGATAAGAAAGTAACACAGGTGGAGCTTTTAGTGAAATGCCATAAAATAACAGGTATAAGCACATGGGGATTGCTCTAGTTTCCTTCATGCTGCTGTGATAAAATGTCCAGTCAAAAGCAACTTGGGAATTTCAGTTTACAATTATAGGTTACACTCTATCATTGTAGGAAAGTCAAGGTAGGAACTTCAAAGAGCTAGTCATATCACATACACAGCTAAGAGCAGTGAGAAACTAATACATGCATGCTCACTTATTTGCTTGTATTGAACAACTTGATTTGTCCACTCTTAGATAGTTCAGGTAGCCCCTGACTGGGGAGCGGTGCTTCTTATAGTGGGCTGCTGGGTACTATACATCAATTAACTTAATCAAGACAATTCCCTAATGACAGGCTCACAGGCCAACTCACTCTAGACAATCCCTCATGGAGATTCTCTTTCCAGTTGACTCCGGGTTGTGTGAAGTTGACAATTAAAGGTAGTCAGCCCAAGGATAATGAAAGATACATAGTTAAATGAGAAACTTGTGAAACAAGAAGTCAGAAAAGGAGCAAGGACTGATTCTGTGGTTCATAAATGCATCTGTTATGGAAAAGAAATATGAATCCTGTGTGGACAGAAGAAAAGCACTGAAAGACATTCATAAAGTGTCTAATTAAATCTGGGTTTTTCAGTGGGTATGGGAGATGTCTGTAGTAGACAAATTCTACAAGTGAGAATAGAAATTAAAGGTAACACCAGATGTCATATGACATGAAAGTTAGGGCAAGTGTCATAGTTTAAACAGAAACTTTACAATGGAGAGAGAAGAAGAAATAATTTGAAGGTGATTTATAAGCTAAAATAAAAAGGAACTGATGGCCAAGAGGTATACAGGAGAAAGAGGAAACACAGAATCTACAAAAATGTCAGATGCTGAGTATAGGAGTGTGGATAAGTTGGATGTTTACAGAACCAGCCAATAAGGATAAATAACATTTAAGCATTATTAGCAATTATTTTGACCTAAATGACAATTGTAGAATATTCTACTGCTTATAAACAGAATATACATTCTTTGTGTGCCCACACAGAACATTTATCAAGATTGATGAAATAATGCATAACTAATTTAAAAAGATCAAGTAATACAATCTATATTCCCTTGTGAAATGAAACTAGAAATTAAGAACATACCAAAGATAACTGCTTAGCGTGACTTTAACACTATGTAAAACATACATAAATATAAAGATCACAAGTTGCCACTATCCTGCATAATTTTTATATTTTTACATGCCAACGGGAAAGATCAATGTCTTTTAAGCAAAGACATTAAGAATATTTGGGAAATCCCTTAATACTGGAAACCAAGTAGTCTATTTTCTAAATTCCCAGAAGAAGAAATGAAAGTATTCCGAGCCAACTAAAAGTAAATCGAAGCACACCGGAGTCTATGGAGGCAGCAGAAGTAGTGTTTAGAACTTGTAGTACTATCTACCTATTAGAAAAATTAAATACACAACTCATAAACAATTGTGTTACCTGAAGAGCCTAAAAATAAAACTCTCAAACTGCTATTAAGCCCTCAGTAATAGAAGGAAGTAAGGATAATCTCGGGTGCAGCAATCACTAATGTAAGAAATAAGATAGAGAAAAAGAGAGAGGAGGGCGAGAAACCATAACCTGCTTCTATGTTGAGAATAGTAGACATCACAGTCACCCAGTCACAATTAACCAGGAGAGGATCCAAGGAGAAAGGATGGAGATGGGAAGAGGGATAACGGAAGTGGTGACACCATGATAGACTATAGAGACCCAAATCAACACAATATTATGGCCATTGGGCCATTACGTTTAATGACATAAATGCACAGATTGTTAGAAAAAGACCAAATACCTTAACTTCCTGAGAAAAAAAATTAGAGAAGAGCAGACAGCCTTTTACTCATAAAGAAATTTACTTTGTACTTTAAAGAAACTGTCCTACTTGCCAGGTAACATCATGCTCATTAATAAAGAACTTTTCCCTCAGATCAGAAACACAGCCATGATACACACTCTCTTAGCACTTCCACTTAACACTTTACACACATTATAGCCATTGCCACAAGATAAGAATTTAAAGACATCTAGACCAGAACAGATGAAGTAAACATCATCATTTATAGAAAACCTCTGATTGAATATGATGTTGAAAATTCTAAGAATAACTGAGAATAAGAATAGTTACAGGCTACAAACTCAATGTAGAAAATAGTAAGTGTAGGCTGGGGAGGTGGCTCAGTGGATAAGAGCACTTGGTGCACATGCATGAGGACATATTCTGAACCTATGTAGCGAGCAGGACGTAGTCATGCACACCCGTCATCCCAGCACTGTGGGAAGTAGAGACAGGAGGACTGATGTGATCTCTTGGCTGCCAGCCTCATACCCAGTTCAGTTAAAGACCCTGTCTCAAGAGACAAAAACAGGAAGCGATAGACTAGAACACTGATTGTTTTCCTATGGCCTCCATTGGCAATGAAGTAACCCACAGACCTGTATATGAACATGTAAGTATACCACATGCATATACACCCATACGACCACACACATACACACCCACATGTACATTTGACACTAAAAATCTACACAAAGAGGAAACACACAACAGTTTTTAAATGCACAAACATACCAATGTTCTGAAAGCAGAATGACAGTTGCCTTAGGGTAGGAGCCAGAAGATCATCAATGGACCTCAAATACACTTGAGCTGGGTGAATGTGTTTATTATCTTGATCGTAGTGATCTACGCGCGCGCGCGCACACACACACACACACACACACACACACACACACACACCAAAAGCAAAAGTTACCAAATTATACATTTCAAATATTTATGGTTTATCATATACCTCAAAGCTGCTCTTGTTTTTCCTAAGTGGCACTATTGATACAAGTTAAGAGTAGACTTAAGTGCTAGATTGTGACTAGAACAAGAGCAGACAAAACTGAGTATAAACTACTTCCCCCATGAGCTTAGCTTTGAGAGAAAGAGACAGAGGGCGAAGGAATTGGGAATCTGAAAGAACAAACTAGACAAAATGTTGAGTTATATATTTTGTAACATGAGAAATGTACACATAAAAATGTGCTATAGCAGAGATGCCAGTGGACAAGGAAGTTGAAAACTTAGGATGGAAAATTCAAAAAGAAAGGAGTCATGAGTAAGGGGACTTTGTGGGTACAAATGAAGATATTTTGTGTTTAGATGGACGGATATAAGAGTTAATACATTTAATTTGCTATTTTTTTACTTCCTATTCTGGGAAGGATGATGAAGTGATGAAGGAGAGGAGAAAGATCACCTGGGGAAAATGTTGGGATTTCGGGAAAGTCATTGGCGACAGCGGTTGAAATGATGGAGGTGATATGTGTTAGGTGTAGAAGCACTCTGGAGTGACAAGAGAAGAGTGAAACAGCTACAAATAAGATAGAGGCCGTTTTCATGTGCACAGTGGTCACTTTTGTCCTTCTCTGCTTCCTTTCCCTTTAGCCACGATCAAATTTCACTCACAGGCCACTCTTCCTACTTAACCTCAACCCCTCGCCCATTATCCTCAATGTACACTGGCTAGTTAACACATTCTTCAACTTTATTGGTAAATATTACTACACAAAGAGAAAACACAGACTCTCTTAACAAACCACAACATTCTGGCTAACATTCTGTTAGCCAGCTATATAAAATCTTAATGCCATACCATATTTTTCTTAGCCTTATTAGCAAAGAGAGATTTCATCATCAGCAAATATCAACAAAATCAATTACTCCTTACATTTCATATAGCTTATGGATAATGCCTAGAGAACCTCTAAGATTTTCAGGTACTAGCATGGGTGTGCAAAAAGTCAAATAGAACCCCAAATAGCCACTGGCAGGTATCTTCCATGAATTGAACTCTTAATATATTAAAGCCATGCATGTTAGATCATACCTACAGGTACTAGGTTTGGGAAAAGTTCCAGCCAAGTATGAATTTTTAATAAAATGATAATTATGACTCACAGTACTGACCCTTTTTCTTTAGGGTTATAACACTCGTGGCCATCTTGGCATTGCAAACATGAGGTAATAAATAATAACCCTAACAAAGCATGTAAGGTTTCTGAAGCTTAAGTATGCAATCAGGTTTTAAAGGCAAGAGTTTTATTTTGTATTTAATAGTCAATCATCCACTAGATCAAAACAGTTATCGTCTGGGTTAGTACCTGCCAAAATGCACTGTGTGCATCTCCTCTCAGAAGTTCAACAGTGTCTCCTGCCTGGATATGCAATGGTGGTCCTTCGTGAAGAGCTGGGGGTGGGGTCCCAGTGTAGTTCCTAATGACCTGCATCTTTGGCAAACCTGAAAACAAACGACACACTGTTTACAATAGAAAAGACAACGATGTGTGGAGGCTACATGTGCTTTGAAGAAAAGTCCACTATTAGCATTAAAATGGTTAATTCTGCCAGCCTCAGGTAAATATCTTGAAGTAATCCAGATGGAATACTTCTCAACTTCCTCATCACCCAAGGTGCTGAGAGAATAAGACACATGCTTATCCCCTGATCCCTTACATACCTTTTCTTTCCTCACTGTCAGTCTCTTTTTAGTTGAAAAAATATTTCTCTTTCAGCTGATGCCTGCTTCATAAAAAACATATCACGTTTTTGGAAAAGAATCAATTTTTTCATCAGCTCTACCCTTTCTGCCTATTACTTTCCTTTTGGGCACTGGCTGATTTCATCACTAAGGAGGCTCACCCTTTCTGTGTATGTATCACACTGTCCAGGAGAAGGCTCCTATCTTAAGGTTATCTTTGTAATTCAAAAGCAAAAAGGTGATGGATGTGTGACAGCAATTCTTGAGACATTTATATGGAGAAAAACTCTGGGCTCAAATTTAGGCTTGTAAAACAGACCCAACAAATGGAACATGTCTAAGCCAATAGCATCAGTGATATTAAAAATCCAGACCCATCCCTGTCTTGCATTTCTTTCAATGTGCAATGAGGGCCTCGGTTCAATATTTCATTTCAGAGAACAGGCAGCTTCAGTTATATAGGGGCCTAATTGCACCAGTTCTGCTCACCAATGTACAACCTCACAGTCACTTTTTCATTTATAGATGAAGCTGCTCCCTACTAAAAGAGCTATCACTCATAAACATCACCATCTCTTACTCATTTGGGGGCATGAGCTATTATTGCTCATTATACTTGAGGAGTGTTTATTCTAATGACTGTGGTGACTGGGTGGAAGTGCAGTACTCTGTATATGGAGGACCAGTGACAGTCAGTTGGTTCTGGATATTCCAGGTACTTTAAAAAGGCTCCATGAAATGTTCTAGCAAAGAGATCTCAAAATCCTTTTCAATCATTACCTGCCCCCACCAAGAACAGGGGAGTTGCTATAAGTGAAAGAGAACCAAATGTTAGTCAATGCATTCTTGTCAATCCAGTTAATGGAAGGCAGAGGTCTGAAATTCACTTGCCCTTCACTCCAGTTGAGTTGCTATGGCATTGGAGGTACAATATAAATTGCTACATCTCCCCTTTGCTTCAGTGCCACAGAACCCCTGGAGGGATGGTGACTTTAATCCTACTTTAATTTTCCATGGAGAGTTTCTCTCCCAGATGTTATGAGGTGGCACCCTAACACAAACAACAGACTTTATTGTCTTTCCCCAAAAGCAGCACCCCTAGTGAGTTCTCCAGGGTGAAGCACTCATCAGACTTGTTTTCCACATGCTAAATGCCTTGAGTATAGAGAGAACTTATTTTACGGACTATTAAATTGCTACTACTACACCTCCCATACACAGAGCCAATGTGAAAACAGGATTCAGTAGAATGTAGAATTCTTCACCTGCAGTCTGGGTTGCATGATGGGATTCCACATTTAGGCTCAGATTTGTACTTTGCCTGTTTGAATTGTGAATCATCAATGCTTGGAAAATATATGATTTGGTAAATTCCTGGGGCAATTCTGATTTTATGCCATTTTTTAAAATATGCTAAAGGCAAGAAAAAATAGTTTTTAAGCCTGAAAGAACTCATCTGCCCTTAAATAGCAAGGCCATTGGAGAGCTGTGACCTTCACTGTAGCTGTCTGTGTGACACCTAATGATACCGAAAGTCCTCTTATTGTCAACATGCCCAAGGTAGATATTCTCAAAAAGAAATGATTAAAAATGCATAGGAAACACATTAACTTTGACAGCAGTTCACTACCTAAATATACATTAGAGATTATAATGTAAAAATGTCCACTTTGCACACAAGGCTATGAGAAGCCAGGTCCAGAGTGACACTGCCTTGGGTCTATTTATACAGACGGGATTGCCATAGCACATGTAAAATAATAACACCTAAAATAGAAAATAATTCATAAATGAACATGGACTAAGAAAAATGCTCTGTGTTGCAAAGTAGCTATGATGGACTTGGCTTTTATAGTGCTATTTGTTCTTCCTTTTTACTAACTCTATCTTTTTAGCTATCACTTTCTTAAGGGGAGCTGATCTAATTGCACACTAACAGAGACAAGTTGTGCAGCCTGTTGCTAAAATAAAAATGTGTTAAGTTGGCCAGATGAAGGTTCAGCCATGTCATATTCAGAAGGATGTTGTAACTAGTCTCAATTTAGTTACAAGTCAACTGGCAAGTACAGGGTTCTTCAACTGACATGCTTTTTATTTGGGAGTAAGTTGTAACCTTATGATATGATAGAATTTATATATTTTGTCCTTTCAAGAATAATCTGTAGCTATTTGTTTCTAATGGGTTAATACTTCCCATTTCACCATTGTCTATTGTTAAAGCCACAGAACCACAGAGATCAAAGGAAAAAAGATTGAAATAAGGGCCTATTGATATGATGAAAATGGTCACTTCGCCCTTTGCAGGCGTTCAACACTGGTGGAAAGATAGGTTGCTTCCCAAAAGACCCATTTAACCAAAAAAAGAAAAAGGAAGGCCTGGTAACATTTCGTGAACATAATCACAGTAATTAGATTTAAAAAATCTTACTAAAAAGCAAAGGAGGAATGGGTTAAACTTTCATATCAGCACTCTGTTATCAATTTAATACTTAGCAAATCTATTACCACAGCAGGCATCACATTCCATAAATGAGATCAAAAATAGAGAGTGAATTACATTTATAGATGCTCATGCTAGGAATAGGCATTGGCTATTGATTTAGTAGGAGGTCCTTCTCTCCTACTTAGAGCCTGTCAGACAGGTTCTAAACTCTGTTTAAAACTAACCAGGGCAAAACAAGCCCAACATATCCCCATGGCAACTCAGCCATTGTGGCATCCAGTTTACCATTTGTCTTACTAAAAGATCTCTCATCTCTTTCCTGGTGTGCTCTATCTCCATGGACCTGCCTCCCTCCATCTGGAATTACTCCAAAGAAGGCAAATCACTGTTTTTGTAGATTAACCTTTCAAAAGTTGTTCAAGAAAACCCATAAATTCTAAAATGAAATAAAAATCACATTTTCCTTTGGTGAACTACACATCAAGGGCTTCTGAAATACAAAGACAAAACAAACAAATGGAACATGAACTATAAGAATAGAAACAGAATTTTTGTCATTGCTAATAACCAAAAACAGTCAATGTTTCTCTTCTAAAATGACCAAAATCATACATTTAAATACATTATAAATCAACAACTCACTCAAAAAAACAGCCACTTCTCTGGGGATTCTTTCTGCTCTAGCACTATTAAAAATGAAAATGCTGGTGCAATCATAGGGCTGCTCCTCAAAATCTGACTGAGTATTCATACTGCAAGGACCCTCAGGCACTAACAGCATACTAACCATGTGCAATTGTAACATATACATTTGGGCATCTTGGAAATTCCCCAGACTTTATAGAATCAACTATCTCTATCAAGGGAATATTAGGAAAATGGCTTAGCCAAAGTTAGAACCCCAGCCAAATGTTTATTTTGGTTGGCTTTACTCTATACAACAAATTGTTACATAATAAATATGTAATACCCTAAATATTTAATCTGTGGCAAGTTTTTCTCTCTAAGTTTTGCACACACTTGTAATTTTGCTTTAGCTTATGCTAAAAGAAAAAAAAAATCTCCTAACCCATCCTTATGCACGGGGAGATTCAGCACATGTAAGAAATGGAATCATTACAACTATGGCCAAACTCCTGTGACAGCCATAAAGTTCTACTTACACAAAACTCATATAAGTACATGAAACACCAGGATTACAACAATAAGATCAACAACAACAAAATACAAGTGCTTTTAAAGGAGGACCTGAAACTTCTTTTCAAAATGGATTTCAGTACCATTAGAAATGATGCACACCAAGAACACTAAATGCTTCTTAAAAATGTTAATTCTCAGTGGAATCTTATTAGGAACTTGCCAAATAAAAGGTATTTCACTGGCAATTTTCACTTAAATCCTCAAACTTCAGTGAAAGCAACAGTATTAGTCTGTACTGTATCTGCTAAGCAGGGAGAAGTGGCAGCTGCAATACAGATTAGCATCCATCCACCATGCTGAGGTCCCTGTCCAAATACAATGTGCTTCCCCAGGGTCATAATTTAGAGGAGGAGGATGCCTACCAGACAAACAGGCTGTCTGTAATGTGCTAGCCTTTCACCTCTGAGTCCTAATTTAAAATATAAACACAGCCACATTAAAAAATAATTAGTCCTACAAGATGTCAGAGGATGTACTTGGTTTATCCCAAGGAAACTGATCACAGGCATAACCAACTCATTCATGTACAGTGTTATCAGTATTTCACAGCAGTTTCAACATAGAGCAAGAATAAGTTTCCCGTCCTCATCCAGTCTGTGGTTAGTCTTCCAAACACACAGATGCTGACTATAAAAGCAACAGTATACTAGGTCATGGATTCCCTTGCAGGAGGCACTTTTAAATTTTTTTAAAATTACTATCCACAGGACTTTTAGAAAAAAAATTAGTTAAGTCTTGGGTAGGATCCTGAGCTATATGTTTTATTATTTAGTCTCTTGGCTGGGTCTTCCAAATTTCAGGCAGGCTTTGAAATCTCCTCTTGTGGATACATGTCTGGAGCCCATGACCAACGTTCACCATGAGGAAACTTGCCTTTGGGACAATTACAGTGAAGTAAGTGGTGTCTGGCATCACCCCAACAAGTCTCCTTAATCAACACACAGGGTGCTAGTGAAAAGTCCAGTTGGTAAGAGAATTTGCTGTGCACATAAGGACCTGTATTTGGGTCCCAGGCATCCATGGAAAAACACTGGGCATGGCTGTGAACATGTAACAACAGCCCAGGGCTGTGGGGGTAGACAGGATCACTGAGATTTGCTGGCTATGCAACCTAACC